AATTTGTTTCTTTACCACCTAACGGGATCTTCTATTCAACATTTTTAAAGAAAACAGATGATTAAAAAAAAAAAAAGGAAAAAGGGAATAAGTAGGTTCTTGTTAGTGGGGTGGGTTTTTTTTTTTTCCTGTTTTTGTTTTTTTGCTGTTGAAGACAGGTCAAGGACCAGATTAAAAAAAAAGAGGAAATGAAGTGGTAGTTTAATGTGCAATTTTTATCATACATACAGTTACAATATTTGAAGGACACTCAAAGACCCAACCACTTCTTAATTATATTTTAATTTTATTAAAATAATTACCACAGACTTCTAACTAGCCTGGCACTTCTTGTGTCAGGAACTATACCTAGCACATACACGCTGTTCCAAAAAGTTTACCATAACTAGTTAAGATAAAATTTACCATTAAAAAAAAGAGTACTGAAAATAAACTGAAGGAATGAAGATAGGGAAAAAAAGGCAACAAAAAGAACAATGGTTACACAGACCAGCTAAAAATAATACGCTGTTTTAATTGATTTCTGTAATTGTTGTTTATGCAAATTAGAAAATGCACATGAAAACCTTGCTTAGCTGATAATTATCTTTCCAGTGAATAACTACAAGTTTTGACCATTTGTGAGAGAAACAAAGGTGGGCCCCTGATCAGCCCTTGTTCCTGATCAAATGTATACTGCTGTAACTAAAAAATATTTTCACCTCAAGGAACTTGCTGACCCTTCGGTCTCAAACTTAAAACTACAAAACACAAGGGAATACAAATTCTTCAACATACATCCTTCACATTCTACTGATTCACTATTTTTGCTCTCTGTTCACCAAAACATACTTCTCTTAGAAATAAAATAGAAATAATAACAGGTAACTCGGAGAGTATAACATTGAATATCAACAGAAAGATAAAGTCAAAAACTTAACCTAAAAGCTTGCTTGATTTAAAGTCTGCTTTCTTAAAAGAACTTTCATCCTGTGGCAGTCTCAAAAAAATGTTTAAAATTATTCTTTTTTCACATTCTTCTTGCAGTATTTTTCAAGTGAACGTTAGAAAAAAAGCTTTCAGTGTCACAGACAACTTGTTGCCCTTTTTGACAACGTATGAAAAACAAAGCCGTAACTCACAAAAATAATCTTATCATCGTGTTTTCACTATCACAAAGAAAATCAACAGAAAAATATAGCAGAGTAAGAGCTCCTGTTTCAAAAGCACAGTATTTTAGAGTAGTCTACGTTTGTATAAATCTACTATGAAACATACATTTCAACAAACTGCAACAACAACAAAATGCTTCCTAATAACAGGAGTCAGTAAAAATATATCCCTAGGAGACAGTTAGTCCTTTTGAACTTGCACTTTCAACTTTATTTTCAGATTCGCACATCACCAAATACAGGCACAGAACTTTTTCACAGACACTTCTTGACTGCAAACCCTCTCCCTGAAGAATATATTTCCAACCACCCTATAAAATAACAAAATTCTACAACTGCTGCATGAAATAAAATGTGTAGCAACTTAGAGCTCTAAGCTTAAGTGGCAATTTGGAATATCTACTTGCTGATATATACTATAGCTACTCGCATTAGAATACATACATTAAGACAGACAAGCGATTTAGGATATGGATTGTCTTTTGCTAAGCATTTGCACAGTAATAACACAACAGTGCCCTGAACCTCTGCAGCATTAAGGGATTAAAAGCAATATCAAAAATTAATTTGTGTCTTTTGTAAATTTATAGGGATCCTGTAATTTTAAAACAAGCACACAAAAAAAGTTTTGCAGAGATTTCTAATGAAATAAAAAAGGGGTGTTTCTCTGACTCTAAAGAACTCATTTAAACGTTCTTATGTAATGCTGAAGCTGAACACTACAGCAGAAACACGGGCATGTCAATCAGAAAAAGAAAATAATTATGTACAATTGAAATTGTGTTCCAAGTATCAAGGCAAATCTAATGAAAAAATACTAGTGGTAACAAGATCATTAGACCATAACATTAGGTTTTCATTCAAATACAATTTAATTTTAAATATTAACTAAAAATTTGCTCTTTTGAGGGTGTCACTTAAAAATAAGACTTGAATTGCATTTTGTGTGAGACTTTCTTTTAAAGAAAGTTTTAAAAATATATAAGCATACACTGTGCTAGCTGCAACAGTTAATACTGCATAAACATTAAGCTAGAACTTTTGTTTAATTCATAAATTACCAGCACAAAAATTCATAGAATAGCTGCAGTTTCTTAGAGCTGAAACATCATTTCAGTTTGATGTGTTATTATTATGCAGCTTTCCTATTTCCATTAGTAACTAAGGCCAGAAGAACGTAAAACAACTTCGGCAATACTAAAACTACCTAACTCTTAAACCTGCCTGACATCAAGTTTCTGTCTAGCAGGAAATTTTACAACACTCCTGAAAACAGAGCTGAAAAACTGTTTCTTATAATGGAAACTCTGACAGACCAAGAACTATAGTTACACTAGGAGCTGTCATTATAATATTCTTTCCTTTCCCTCATGTCATACTGAAATTTCCATTATGTTCCTCATTTGTCATTCTTCTCTGTAAAGACAGTTACTTAATTAAAAAATGGGGTTTTTTTGCAACCTACCTTCTAGTTTCATCCAATTCTTTTAGTTCTTCATACTCTCACCGATTTCGATTATTACATATGTCTTTCCAGCTTTAGCTGCAAGAATCTGCTACCCGTACTCCATTCCTCACATTTTCTAAGAGGTAAAAAAAACTCGCCAAGAGAAGCGTTTTGCACTTGTAATAACGATTGTTGTGACTTTTTAATTGCAACTTCAGAAAGTTCAACTGAAAAATTTTGATTCAGCTGCTTTACTTTATCACAGGAGTTTCATTTTTGAAGACTATTTTGCCAAGAGCGTGAACTCTCAGATTTTGATTATGGCAAAAAAGCACCACCACAGAAAACCACCCTCCTAAACTTATTCGTTCACTGACAACAACATTCTGCAAACTACCATAAAACTTGGAACTCAGAACAGCTGTATTTCTTACAGATTTTGTCTGTGTAAGAATGCAGACAAAACACTGAAGTACAAGACAGTCTTCATCAAAGAGACAATGCAGAATCTTGCTTGGCTATAGGCAAAAGGCAGGTTTGAACATATTTAGATTCCAGACAAATATCACTTCTGAAGCATTAGGGAGAAAAAAAAAAAAAAAAAAAGCCGAAAAGCCTCTCTATTACTTACATTCTTGCTTATGGGAGGGAATGTTAGGTACATGTGGAGGGAAGATCAAATTTAAATTTTTACCTAGCTTGACAAAGGTTAGTCCCCATCAGACAAAACCATTCTTAGGTAACTAAAATCATCTGATAGTAGAAGGAATTCCAGCCCCAGAAGAAAAAATAATGGAAAAAAAACTGCCGTACTAAATCTGATTTGTGGCTCAGATTAGTAGATTGTGTCCAATATAAACCACTAGCTGCCTGACTGAAAGATAGAAGAAAGTCAACATTGGAGCTGCTTTTAAATTATGCAGTTATCCTCTGTAAATTTGGTAAATTTGGCAATTATTTTCTGTATATCAATGGAATTCTCTAATGAATATCTAAATAATTCCTTAACTAGAGACCAGTCAACTATCCTGAACAGATAGGAATTCAGGAAATGCTACTTCATTACTGACTGATGACTACAGACTGATCTTTAGCATGGCTCTGGATGCAACGGGTAGCAGAAGACTAAAGGACATCTACACAATTTAATATAAACATCTAGAGACATAGAGGCAGTTGTATATAAGATTTATGGTAAGACCATGGTTGCCTGTTTACATTAAAATATAGCATACAGCATTTTCAATACACATTAGAAATGTCTCATAGGCCTTCATGTTTCTACTTGCAGAAAGAAAAATATTTCTTACAACAACTTTAAAGGGCATCATCCTTTTACATTCAGTTTCTCAGGGGTATAATTTCAAGAAGTATCAACTAACATCAACTTGCACAAAAATACCACAGAAGACATAATTTCACCTACTAATAAATAAAAGCAATATTCAGGATAGTTAAATGTGCTCTAAAGCATTAGCAAACAACCATTAAAAAAATGTAATGAAAGAAACTACCAAAAGGCTAGCTAACAAGTACACAAGGTACATCAGTAGGTCAAATGAAAGAGAAGGTGGTGGGGGAAGAGAAACGGACAAGGAAAAGCCTCATCATAATTAGGCAAACATATGACAGGGAAAACAAATAACACTATCTGGGTAGGGTTATTTTATGGTTAAATGCTAAATAAAGATAAAACTTTGGCAATAGAACAGAACATGTGAGAACATAGCATATCATGCTCTGGTTTTCATGCATATAGTTATCTTCCACTGTATCAGCTTTCAAATTCTAACTGTTAACAGAATTTATTAAATCAGTGAGTTATTAGGTGGTTTTGTATGTGGGGTTTTTTTTTTTTTTTTGGTAACTGAACGTTACATAACACAGAAAAATGCTGCCTGTCCTAAAACGTAGTTCAAACCAAAGGTCCTCCCAAATGTACAATGTATGAAAATTAAGAACAGGGAGTTTGGGTTATGAAAGGAAGCTGTATGACTAAAAAGTGAATCCATTCTCCAAAACGCCCACACAGACAAGAGCTTGTGATGCAAAAAACAGTCTGTGCAAAATCTGAACTGCATAGCTTATTTTCATGAAAAGTTAGAAGCTGCACTATACGCAGATTACATGACATTCAATGTGAGAAGACTTGAGAAAAACATAATCTTTTGATTTCTACTATTACAACAGGCACAATTATTTGATTGATCAATATATTCCCTATAAATACCAATGGTTATTTACTTAAATAATTGTCTTCATTTAAAATTTACACAGGGAGAGACGCTTGCTTAGCTGTTCCAGACTTAATTCTTTCCAGCTTGCTGCAGGCTTCAGTTTTAGCTACCTTTCAAATAAGATGCAACAGTGTATGCTAACCAACAAACCATTCTGTGGCTTACCTTGGCACTGAAATCCTTGTTTCCCAAATCCCCTGCATAAAAAAGAAAAGAAAAAAACACCTGTCTTAATATGTTTAGTTATCATTTCTTCTCATTAATCTATTATGAAATAAAAATAGCTTCATATTAAATTGCTTTAGATTTTTCTAAGAGAGCAACAGATTTAAAAATATACAACACAGAACAGCCCACCCATTTCAAAGCAGAGAACAATAGCTGTCACCAGCTATGTAATTTCAGCTTTTGGCAACAATTTTTTTTTATTATTATTATTTCACAAGCTATTTTGGATCTACAATTAACATCATCTGTGATTACTGCATAATATTTCAACTCACTGCATGCCACACATATACTTAACAGCAATATAACACGTTCCAAGTTCTAGGAAAGGCCTATAAAACAAACCAAACAGTTTCTAAACCAAATTTTAGTGATGCTTACTGATATCGTTACGCATCTCAGCTAGATAACAGTAGTCTATTGTACAGAAAGTGGGAAGGTTAAAGGTTTCGCTTGTTTCAATATAAACTATAATAAAGGGTCACTAACTTAATATGAACTTTTCTTTCAGTTTCCTTAATTTCCATAACAAAATATAAATATGCACATAATATTTTACCTATGAATACAGTGATACACAAGTGTTCTACATGCTATCCAGAGTTCAAATACCTACTATACCTCTGGCAAAATGCCATACTGTTGCCCTATTTATTTACTTTTAAACATTCAACACTCTTCCCACAAAAATAAATGTTTTGAGTATACAACTTACAAACATTTCTCTATATTTTCCCTCTTTATAGAATGTTTTTCATCTGAAGAGTTGCAGTTGCTTATTCTAAGAGAGTAACAAACCTAAACCAACTATGTGTAGAAGCCAGCCAGTAGGCTGTACACACTTAAAAACATGAAATTGAATTATGGACTTTGTGGCAATGCAATAAACATTTATCCATTTTTCTTTTCTTTTTTTTTTTGCTCTTTTTTTAAAATAGAAAATGGACAAAATCTTTGGTACACAGTTAATTCAGATGAAAACTCACATTATACAACTTTGATTATTTTTGTAAACTTCTGCTCAAAAGTCTCTACCTACTGTCGTTATAAGTAGGTCTAAACTAACATATCCAAAATAAATATAAAACTGTTTGTTTACTCGGCAGCATATGTGACTATACCATAATGTTATTTTATTGTTCTCATGTCTTGTGTTCACAAAGGTAAAAAGCATGTACTGAAAGTGTGCAAATGAGAGCGTAAAACCACGAAAGCTGACAGCAGAACTAAGAACATGAAATAGGCTTCAGATAGTTTTCTGTCCTTTCAAATGGACTTATTTGTAAAGAACATCCCTCTAATATCTACTGAAAGCATAGCCATTGTTCAGCATTTGAGCTAAATTCATACACTAAGCAGCTGTGGTCTGGCTAGTCTATTCCATGCTCTAGTCAGTTGCAATGCATTTTGAGTAAAATAAAAAAAGAAAAAAACCCATCACGTTTCAGAAATGAAGCAGATAAGTGAAAGTTGTTGAAGAAAATAAAGAGGTAGTAAATTATTTCGGTAAACATTACCCGGTCAAGTATAAGCTAAAAACAAAAAAGAAGCCTATTCGCACAGAGATTACAGTGTGTTGAAAGGCTGTATTTACTATTCTTTATACCTTACAAGGCATGCTAATAGCCACGCGTCGTTTTGAACATAGACATATCTTGAATAAGCATCTGAGGGAGTAAAGAATGCTTCATCTAACTTCAAATGAGGAAATGAAACAAAAGTTTTGGAGCTGCCACATGCTGTTTTGAAGAATGTTAAGAGCTTCCTAGACTTACTAGCAAAAAAGAACAAAAGACTACAGCTACTCTTGCCACCTGTCAACTACAGGATATCCTTTCACTTTTAAATGCATCCTGTGATCAGGTGCCTTTTCTTATTACAGTATTTTGCCCTTTTTTTTTTTTTTTAAATCGTGTTAGTCATCTGCACAAACATGGGCCGACAATAGCCCTGCAGCATTCTTTCACACCTCCCAATTCCCTGTTTCGGGATAATTTTGAAGCAGTTTCCAAAGGTCTCCCACTTTTACAATACCCAACTTTGTGACTACTTTCTTTCAAATAGAAAAACTTAAAAACAAAACAAAACACACGCTCTCAAAGAAGTTGGCTTGCTTCTCCTGCAGTCCACCCATCTCAGATTTCCTTCCTTTCCTTTCCTTCAAACCCTTTACTCTGCAAACGTATCTTAATCATTTCTGGAGCAGCCCCAGATTCTCCGGCCCGCAAACTGAGGAAAACACAAGGAGGTAGGCCAACGTCTGCACTCAGGGACATAAACACTTGTGACAAGACCAAGACACCTGCCCAAAAACACAGAGCCAGCTGGGCGCATCCCCCTCTGCTCTTTCTACAAAGTTGGCTAAAATGCCGCCCGGTCTCAATTTTGGCAAGGAAACCTGCAAGGAAACCCTCGGCAACTTCAGGAGCAGAGCAACGCTGAAGACCAAGCCTCATCTCTTCCTAGGTAAGAGGAAAGGAAGCACAAGTTGTTTCTGTCGCGTGCTAGCTGAAGGCACAAAACATTCACCCGGACCCAAGGGCACACGCCTGCCCACCCGCCGGTGCTGCCTCACCTAGCCGAGGGCACGGGACATCGGTAGCCTCCGCGCGCCCGCTCCCGCCACGGGAGAGGGAGGGTTTCAGACAGAGCTGAACCACGCAGAGACAAGCGCGCCGGAGCAGCAGCAGCGCGGCTGGGCCTGCAGCGGAGCCGCAATCCTGCCCAGGAGAGGGCACGGCGGGATCCCAGAGGCACGTTTTCTTCTCCCCACCCCCGAGAGCTCAGTAAGGAGGGTGTTGGGAGGAAGAGCCTCGCTCCCTTCCTCCCTAGCAAAAACCATTCTCTGGAGGAGAAAAAAAAAAAAAAGAAAAACAAAACCCCCAAAATAAGATCTCTTTCCTAAGCGCGAGGACCCAGCCGCAGTGCCACCGCGCGCTCCCAATCTTCCTGCCCTCCATTGGCAGCGAGAGGAAATAAACAGACAGCAAAGTTAAAGGCAGGGCTGCGAAGTTGTGCCAGGGAGCAGCGGCCGGG